TTATTTTGCATTGGGGTATAGCTGATTAACAAACAAATGTGATAGCTTCAGGTGAACAGCGAAAGGAGTCAGCCATACATATACATGGATCCATTCTCCTCCAAACTCTGCTCCCATCCAGGGACATAACATGGAGTAGAGTTCCATTTGCTATAATGTATATATCTTTTGCTGGTTCTCTTTCTCTGATGGAACCCTGACTCCCTTTCCTGCACATTGTGCGGCCTTTAAAGTGTTTCATAAATCATTGGTAAAGTTTCTAGACATGAGCTTACCTATGCACTGGAATCTTCTCAACCCCTGAAATTAGTGGAATAGTCTGTATGTTAGTAAGTAAACATTGGAGAATAGAAAATAAGAATTCCTGTTAAGTTTTCAATGGCATTTTTTCTAAAATTTTAATTATTAAAAAGTTATGCTTTTTTTTGGTAGAACTGTATGGAGTAAAAAGCATTAAGTTCCCTTTCCCCTACTTTCTTTCTCCCATCCTATGTTTCTCTCTGGAGATAACCCCAGATGAGTTTGGATTTTATCTTTTCAGTCTGTAGTGGCTAAGTGTTATGTGTATCTTTAGGTGTCTGCTGCTCAGCTGGCGGTCCAACTCTGTGACCTCAGACTGCTTCCTGGGTGGCTCAGTGGTAAAGAATTCACCTGCCAATGCAGGAGACTCAGGAGACTTGGGTGCGATCCCTGGGTCAGGAAGATCCCCTGGAAGTGGAAATAGAAATCCACTCCAGTATTTTCACCTGGGAAATCCATGGACAGAAGAGCCTGGTGGGCTGCAGTCCTACTGTGCGTATGCTCAGTCATGTCTGACTCTTTGTGACCGCATAGACTGAAGTGGGCTGCCGTTTCCTTCTCCAGGGGATCTTCCTGACTCAGGGATCAAAACTGAGTCTCCCGAGTCTCCTGCACCGACAGGCAGATTCTTTACCACTAGCGCCACCTGGGAAGCCTGAAGCGGGCTACCTGAATGGTAACAATGGCCCTGAAATATGGGGTGGTTAGTTCTTATGGGCTGAGTAGTTTCCTGGGCTGATAAGTGGGAAGAACATTCTAACAGCTTGGAGGAGGGGTGGGGATTTTTCAGAATAGGGCCACCACCCACTTTTTGGCCTTTTTGACTCTAAACTGTCTGGCCCCTGTGGGTGTGTCATTTAGAGGATAATGAATTATAATTACAGTTAGTGTTTAATGAGGCTCAAGATCTACTGCAAGTTGAACCTAGTTGGTTCTAAGCAGTTTATGTTCTTTAATGGTTGTGCCCTGCCCCCTTCCTTCTGGTCTCCAAATCTATTCGCTTTTAGTTCAAGATAATATGCATTCAAATATAAAGAATCCTACATTAAATATTGGCATTTCAAGCTGAAAGTTTTAAGAGGATTTGAGTCTACACAGTGTTGAGATGTTTAGAATACTTTTATTTTACCTTTTTATAGGTTTAATTTGTTAGATTTCTTTGCAACAGGCTTCAGTAGTTGAGGCTCATGGACTTAGGTGCTGTGTGGCATGTGGGGTCTTCCTGGACCAGGGATCAAATCCCTGTCTCCTGCATTGGCAGGTGGACTCTGAACCACTGGACCATCAGGGAAGTCCCTAGGTTTCTGTCTTCTAAACAGAAAATGGCAATGCTATTCACTAAAATAGTGCCAGCTTTGTGTAATCCTCTAATTTAATATGAAAAATATATGAAAAGTTAACGTCATACCCATTTTACAGATAGAAAAGTAAAACTTTACAAAGGTTAAATACTTTGCCCACCATTGCAGGGAGTCAGAACTCTGGATTCATCTGTTTTGGAAGTGGACTTATACAATACTTGGTATTTTATATCTGGCTTCTTTCACTTAGCACAATGTTTTGAAGGACATGTTTTAGGATATATCTGTGTGTGTGTGTGTCTGTTTGTCTGTCTGTCGCTGTCATTCTGACTCTTTGGCCCCATGGACTGTAGCTGGCCACGCTACTCTGTCCATGGGATTCTCTAGGCAAGAATACTGGAGTGGGTTGCCATGCCCTCTTCCAGGGGATCTTCCCAACCCAGGGATCAAACCCAGGTCTCCCACATTGCAGACGTATTCTTTACCGTCTGAGCCACCAGGGAAGTCCAAGAATACTGGAGTGGGGAGCCTATCCCTTCTCCAGGGGATCTTTCTGACCCAGGACTCAAACCTGGGTCTCCTGCTTTGCAGGTAGATTCTTTATCAGCTGAGCTACCAGAGAAGCCCTTCTACTTTTAGGCTACTAACAATAATGCTGCTAGAATATTCATGTGCAAGTTTTTGTTTGAACCTTTGTTGTTAGTTCTCTTGGGTGTGTGCCAAGGAGTGGAATTGCTGTGTCATACAGTAATTTCATACTGACTTTTGAGGAACCACCAAACTTTTTAATGTAATTTCATACTGACTTTTGAGGAACTACCAAACTTTTTAATAGTGGTTGCACAATTTTACATTTCCACTAATCAGTATATGGTTCTAATTTCTCCACATTCTCACCAACAATGGTTATTATTATTAGTTTTTTGGTTTGTTTATACCTATCATAGTAACTATACGTGGTATCTCATTGTGGTTTTCATTTGCATTTCCTCATCACTAAGGATGTCAAGAATCTTTTCATCTGCTTACTACCAGTCTGTTAATCTTCCTTGGAGAAACGTATCAGCATTTTTTTTTTTTTATGGAGCCGCAGAGCAGATGGGATCTTAATACCCAACCAGGGATGGAACCCGAACCCCCTGCATTGGGAACTCCAAGTCTTAACCACTGGACTGCCCAGAAGTCCCTAAATTAGGTTGTCTATATTCTGGATACTAGACTCTTATCAGATAATATCTGTAATTAATTTTTTCCCCAGTCTGTGAGTTTGAAACCAAATCCTCGTAAAACAGAGTTCCTCTGCTGAGTTTATAATTAACATCTCTATCTAAAACTTAGTTCCCCTTCTTGTCCCACTCCCATTCCCCTCAGGATTGAGTCCTATCAAAAGGAGGACTGAAATGGACATGCCCAGGAAAGGCCCTGCTGTGTTCCCTGTTTCTTATTTGTAGAAAAAGTCTTTAGGATCTTAGGCCTTCCCTGAGTTCTGAAGAGCAGACTTATGCAGGTACAAATTAGGAACTTTCTTAGATTTAGGTATTTGATAAACTTTGAATTAATTTGTGTGTGTCTGATCTACATTCAGTCTTTTGTGGATGGATAGCCACTTGTCCCAGCATCATTTGCTGAAAAGACTATTCTTTCTCTATTGAATGGTCCCGGCACCCTTGTTGAACATAGATGTGTGCACTTATTCTTGGACTCTGAAGTCTATTCCATCATACGGACTTTGTGTGAAGTTGCTCAGTCGTGTCCGACTCTTTGCGACCCCATGGACTGTAGCCTACTAGGATCCTCAGTCCGTGGGATTTTCCAGGCAAGAATACTGGGCTGGGTTGCCACCAACTTCATGTAGTTTAACTTTTTAAAAATCACCTTTGGAATTACTTTAGTTTGACCTTTTATCTCCAAAGCTCCAAAATGACCATTTATTCAGCTGATTGAGCCAGAATCAAATTTGCTGTGGGAAAAATTTACTAAAAAAAATCAAGAAAATGGATTTCATAGCAATGTTAATACAATGTTAGACTATGTTACAATTATATGGTTTACTATTAGCATTTCTAAAGGTATAAATGTACAAGACATTACAAATCCATTTTAACAACTCAAAAAGGGGAATTATGATAAAAATGAGACACTGCATACCATAAACATATAATATGAATACATGAATAACAATTTTAATATTGCTTTCACAAATTATGTACAATAAGAGTAAAACAATACAATTATGCATTCAAGTTTTTTTCTTTTTTTGCTTTCAACTTTTCCTGTAGATCTGTTTATCTGCATTGCAAGGGTTGCTAGGTAATAGTTGTGTTATGGTTATTCTGAATATTTTTCTCACAGTCTATGATAGTTATTAGGAACAAATAACCACTTTGTGCTGTGGTAGATCATTCCTTTAATGGATAAAACACTATTTGCTTGCAATGCTCTGTCGTCCTTCTCTCTCAAATATTTTCTTCTGTCACAATCTCTTATATTGTCACATATCTTTGAGAGAAGGGACCCATACATGCAGAAAAAAGGGAAAAAATCTTGACCTAGTTGACTTTCTTGAGGCTCAGAGAGAATGGACTTTTTTCTTTTTTCAACATTCAAGCAAATCCCTTCCAAGCGTTCACTAATTAAGTGGGAAATGTGTGGTTTCACAATTAAGATTCTAAAAGGATCTTTTTGTCAATTTGTTATGTGAGGTATCAATTCACTTGTAGCATATCTTTCACAGCCCTCAAATTCATTTTAAGCTCCTTTATTATACAACATCCTAACGGTGATCATGCATATTCCATGCCAAGAAAAAAATCAGTATGTACAAACATTAAAATCAGGCTTCAGACAGTTAAACACAGAACACATGCTTGAATATTAATGCTTTGAATAGACAGCTTGGGGTTGCAGTCACCCAGGTTCTTATTAGGTTCTGTGGATCACAGGGGGGCAAATTTTTTCACTTGAAAGTGAACTCCAAAGGAAAAGAGTAAAAAAATCTATCGTTAAAACCGTTGAAAATGCAGAACAAGAATCAAATAATTAAAAATACTGGTCATAAAACCTCTGATCCTCTCACCATGCTCCTCAGCACGAACCTCCTTGCTTTCTCCCTGCTTAAAAGTCGAGCACGGACACTTAGGGGCTCCCAATCCCTGCAGTTCTGCCATTTCCCAGTAGGGGGCGATGTTACCTTGAAAAACAACCAGTTTTTCGGCATTAACCCTGATGGGTCTATGTTGCTTCTCTTTTCAGAATTTTTTTTAAGTCCTCTATGAATACTTTTTTTTCTAAACTCAAAAAAAGTAAGAGTTGAAAAACAGCAGAATTCTTCAAAGATAGTTCTTTTACCCACTATCTTCACAGATACTTCTTTGTATGTGACATTCTTGAAGGTTGGTATCAAAGTCCCAAAGTACGAAATGCATCCCGCAAGTCATCAACCTCATAGAGTGGCTGTGGAGAAAGACAGTGGGTGACTTTGTAATTTTTGTGTTAATTTTTTCTTTTTAAAATTTATATCTTTTGGTCGCATGGCATCTGGGATCTTAGTTCCCCGACCAGGGGTTGAACCCACTTCTCCTGCCCCAGAAGTTCGGAGTCTTAACCACTGGACCACCAGGGACGTTCCCATTAATATTTTTCAAGAAAAGAAGCGGAGAGGGAGAGGAAAGAGAGAGAAAGGAATTTTACCAGGAGTAAAATGGATTCTGAGGAGAGTCTAAGTTAAAGATGTGAGTGAGGAAAGAGCGGGGAGGGGTTTAGGGTGAGGAAGGGGGGAAGGGAAAGGAATCTTACTAGAAGGCTAGTGCTTGTGCTAAGTTGCTTCGGTACTGTCTGACTCTGCAACCCCATGGACTGTAGCCCACCAGGCTCCTCTGTCCGTGGGATTTCCCAGCAAGAATACTAGAGTGGGTTGCCATGCCCTCCTCCAGGGGATCTTCCCAACCCAGGGATCGAACCTGCGTCTTTTTAGTCTTCTGGATTGGCAGGCGTGTTGCTTACAACTGGCGCCACCTGGGAAACCCCTGAGGGCTAGTAGAGGGCTTTGAATTGTGAAACAACATTAGAGCAAACTCAGTTGCAGGAGAAATGACAACAAAAACAGAAGAGAAAGTTTTCATCAGAGGAAAAATAAGGGGAGAATGGTAACACACACACACACACAAACACACACGCGAAAACGTAGGAAATAGTGCCAGGGACAGATAACTTTGGAGAAAGAAAATGAGAAGCAAAGAAACCACACACACACACACACACACACACACACACACACACACACCCCACTTACCAAAAGGATGCGTCTAAGCTGTCTGGTCAGACGAACCGAATTTTCATGCAGTCCCTCCCAGGCTTTGAAAGTTCTTTCATGATTTTCCACAAAAGTATTCCAGCAATAAAAATAATCTATTTGAAAATTTGAAAATTTTAAAAGGAGAGGGAAGGGAATGCGTCAGAGCTCAAATCATGAGGAAAGAAAGAAAACTCTGCCCCCTCCACCCCTCCCCTAAAGTCTTGGGTCCACCAATTATTTTCCTCCAATTCTCCTTGACAGCATTCGGCCCTAAAGGCGAGTTAGAACTTTGGGTGCGAGTTAGAATTCTGCCCCCTCTGTCTCCTATTTCTCACCCTGGCTTTTCCCAATCTGAATGGCCTGGCCTGCTCTGCAGAGCCGGGCTGAAAGGTACCCGCGCACCTTTAAAGGTCATGATGGCGATCTGGACCCCAGCACGGTGCAGCCGCCGCAGTCCCTCTGGCTCAGCCTTGCGCTCCCGGTCGCAGAAGTAGAGGCGCGCCGTGAAGATCCGCAGGCTCAGGTTGGGGTATCCCCGCAGGAAGTCGGCCACGTGCCGCGCACAGTCGTAGCAGGGGCTCCAAGACGTGAACCAGGTGACACGGTAGCACCGCCCAGGGTCCAGATCCCAGTCGGAGATGTAGCGGAGGAAGAGCAACTCCACGTGGCATCCGGCCTGGGGAGAGAGCAGAGACTCAGCGGAGGGTGACCGACCTTGCCTGTCCTTCTGGTAGCTTCACCGTTGTTATTAGTTCATGTCCCTCCCACCGGTCAGCCTTTTTGGGGTGTCTGTCCTCGGATTTGTGCAAGGAGATCCAATCAGTCCATCCTAAAGGAGATCAGTCCTGGATGTTCATTGGAAGGACTGATGCTGAAGCTGAAACTCCAGTACTTTGGCCACCTCATGCGCAGAGTTGACTCATTGGAAAAGACCCTGATGCTGGGAGGGATTGGGGGCAGGAGGAGAAGGGGACGACAGAGGATGAGATGGCTGGATGGCATCACCGACTCGATGGGCATGAGTTTGAGTAAACTCCGGGAGTTGGTGATGGACATGGAGGCCTAGCCTGCTGCAATTCATGGGGTCGCAAAGAGTCAGACAGGACTGAGCGACTGAACTGACTGATGGACTGACAGAAAGGCTAAGCAACTGCCAGAAAGGGCACAACGATGAGTGGTGATCCTAATCTCTTTGCACTTTTGGCCTTGGGAAGGGAAAAGGGTGCAGATTTTCTGTGGAACAATGGGAGGATGGAATGAGTTGAGTGGGTCAAGTAGTATCATACTATCTCAGATTTAATTTTTGTTTGTGAAGTTGCTTTTCCTTCCTTGGAGAGGAAGGAACATGGCTTAGAAGTGCTGTTGATGTAATGTTGTGAAAATACACTGGACCACTAAATGGAGAATAAAAAGTTAAGAGTTAGGAGATTCTGAGACTGACAGGTGGGTGTTGTAAAAGAGGTAGTAGACACCGGTTGTGGTTTAAGAACAATTAAATGAAGGGGTCCCTTGTTTTATTGTGCTTGGCTATACTGGACTTTGTAGATACTTTGTGATCTGAAGGTTTGTGGCAACCCTGCCTTGAGCAAGTCTATCCGTGTCATTTTTTCCAACAGCATCCACTCACTTTGTGTCTGTGTCACATTTTGTGATTCTTGCTAATTTCAAACTTCATTATTATTGTTATCATTATCATTGAAGGCTTAGATGATAGCAATTTTTAATAGCAAGCTTTAAAATTAAGATATACACTTTTTGTTTTGGATATAATTGTATTGCATACTTAAAAGAACTGTAGTATAGTGTAAACATATAACTTTGTACGCACTAGGGCTTCCTTGGTGTCTCAGATGGTAAAGAATCTGCCTGCACTGGGGGAGGTCCAGGTTTGATCCCTGGATTGGGAAGATCCCCTGGAGAAGGCATGGTAACCCACTCCAGTATTCTTGCCTGGAGAATTCCGTGGACTAGAGGAGCCTGCTACAGTCTGTGGGGTCACAAAGGGTCAGACACGACTGAAAAACTAGCACTTTCAGGAAACCCCCAAATTTGACTCACTTTTTTGCAATATTCTCTATTGCAGTACGCTTTATTGCCATGTTTTGAAATCAGCCCTACAAAATCTCTGAGGTGTGCCTGAAATGCGTTTGCTCTTTGTAATAGTAATTGTATTAGTAATAGTGATTGTAATAGTAATCACCATAGTGAGATATAGCAAGTCCACTTCATATTGCAGACAAGTCATTGATCCCAGAATCTGAAGACCTAGGTTCCATAAGTCACTCAACTCTTAGATCTTCTGATTCCTCATGAGTTAATGGAGTTTTGTTGTGAAGACTCGGGGAGAGAGAAGGAAAGGAACACAAAGTTTTCTGTGTTTAGAATGTGTCTTATCACCAAATAGGGAAAAGATCAGAAGCTAAAATAATTGCAGTGGGATAATTAACACAATACAAATAGAGGCCAAGAAAAGTGGAATGTGTCAGTGTCATTCTATCCAGGGATTCTTCCCTGTGTTTCCACCAAGACCAGATGTCACTGCATGTTATGAGGAAATTCATTGGCAGGAGCTTATGTAAACTCTTCTGGATTTTGGTGAAAAAGTCTCTTGAAAATGTAATTCTCTGATCTTCTAGTTTTTTGTTTTTTTAATCCTAGATATTTTATTGATCAGTGGGCAAAGAATCTGCCTGCAATGCAGGAGACCTGGGTTTGATCCCCGAGTCGGGAAGATTCCCTGGAAAAGGATATGGCAGGTACTCTTGCCCACTCCAGTATTCTTGCCTGGAGAATCCCATGGACAGAGGAGCCTGACAGGCTATAGTCCATGGGGTCCCAAGAGTCGGACACGACTAAGCGACCAAACCACCACTGCCACCATGTTATTGAGAAGCAGTTTTTATTATTTATCTATTTATGGCTTCTCTTGTTGCAGAACATGAGCTCTAGGGTGCAAGGGTTCAGTAGTTGCAGCATGAAAGCTCAGTAGTTGTGGCGCGTGGGCTTAGCTGCTCCAGGGCGTGTGAAATCTTCCTGGACCAGGGACCGAACCTGTGTCCCCTGCACTGGCAGGCAGATTCTTATGCACTGTGCCACCAGGGAAATCCTGATCTTCTAGTTTTAATTCACGGCTTCCCTGAATTTTCTGAGGGTCACTATGATGAATGTACTTACTGGCTTATGATCTAGGTGAGCAGGAAGGAATAGAAATCATTTGAAAGGTAGAACTGAATCATTAATTTTTCCTAATTCTTCTTCCTTCATTTTTAAAAATCCCAAAACCACAATTTGTTTTTCCACATTTACAGTTCAGCTTGAATGAACTGATAATATTCCCCCAAATAAAAAGGCTCTTTTGATTTGATTTCTTCCTTAATCTGAAAGGCAATTTGGATGCTGGGGAAAGGAGAGGAAGGTTTGGGGCAGTGATTCTTAGCACTGAGACAAGGTGTGGCCTTGAAGTGCCCAGCAGGATTGGGGAGGATGTTAAATGACTGCCTTTGGGACCTGTCTATTGTGGGTGCAGGGACATATAAAAAAGAAAAGAGATCTCAGAAATCTAATGGCAGCAAATGAACCAGGCTGAGTAGCACCATCAGCAGGCGGCTGTAAAATCGCCCTCAGTGTAGCTGCTTGGGAAGCCGGCATTCATTAATTAATAGCAAGATATTAATTGATACCTTGTTTCGAAGGTGCCCGAAGTCCAGTGAGAAGGAGGTGGGACTGTCCCGCCGCTTCACCACGTAGCACAAGTAGGTCTCATGGCGGCCCTTAGCCCAGCGCACGTTTTTGAACTGGTAAAGAAACTGTCTCTGCTTCATCAAGAGGCTGTGGATGAGACAGGAGGGAGGAAATGCAGCCTTCTTGGCTTTCCATCAGCTTTTAAAAAAAAAACTGTAATACTTGGGCCAAACCAGAGGAGACGCTCTTGCTTCCTTATGCTGGATGCCTAAGACTTACTGAACTTCAGATCCACTACAAATCCCTTTTCATGCTTCTATTTAAGACCAGTTGAGACAGCAACAACCCCAAAGACATCCACACTCACAGGACAGGCTCCTCCCATGGCTGCCTTCTAGATGCTGATAACTTGGAATTACAAACGTCTTTCCCAGTTTCATCTTTTCAGGTTTTCTTTCCAGTATTAGTCATGTCTGACTCTTTGCTACCCCGTGGACTATAGCCCACCAGGCTTCTCTGTCCATGGAGTTCTCCAGGCAAGAATACTGGAGTGGGTTGCCATTTCCTTCTCCAGGGAATCTTCCTGATCCAGGGATCGAACCCACGTGTCCTGCATTGGCAGGTGGGTTCTTCACCACTGAGCCACCAGGGAGACCCAATCTCTACCTAAATGTCCAACATAGATCTCAGATCCTAAGTGGTCAAAACAATACTCCCAAACTGCCCTGTCCTGACCTCCCTCTCCTATCCTACTAATTTGCCATCCCAAGTATACAGTCTAAAAGCTTGGAATCATGTTTGATTCTCCTTCACTCTTCATATTTAATAAATTAAACATCTAAATGTATTGAGTCAAACTTTCCAATATTTCTGGGAGTGTTCCTGCTCTGTTCTCTCGGTTCTCTGCTTCAATCCAAGCCCTAATTTTTCCTTTTATCACACTGTCCTGATCCCTTAACTGATCTCTCTGCCTGTAGTCCCTTCAAAATAACAGTTTTCACGAGGTGCCCTAGAGATCTCAGAAAATTTAGAATAAACTCCAGACTCATTAACTGTGGTAAAGCTTTTACAATTGGACACATCTACGTTCCTAGCCTTGTTTCCTAGTATTTTTCTCTTTTCCCCCATCATTTCACCCCCTTCCTCACCTCTGTAACAGGCCCCCTGACACTAGTGTCTAGTTTTCTTTCCAGCCATCTTGCTGGTGTACATCTCCTGACTGAATCCTTTCTTGCCTTTTTTTACCCCCACTGTGCAAAACCTACCCCTCCTTCAAAGCCTAACATCAATTTCAGCTCTTCCAGGAAGACCTCTCTCAATTGCCACTATCACCTCTTTCTAGTCAAAATTGAACATTAACAGCAACAAAAAAAACCCTCCTGAAGTTTCCTGCTGTTCTCCACTCATCCCTATTAAAGCATTCAACCTTTGTTATCAATTCATTGCTACATGTGTCCGCCTCAGATGTAGAATGTAGATTAGAATTTCTGTGCTTTGAGTCAGGAAGTGACACTTTTTGAGTCATATGTTAAAAGTGTGAAAGGTATTTGACCATTCTCAACTTGAATATTACAAAGAAGTAGAAAGTGAAAAAAAAATTTTTAATGTTTAAGAGTTAAAGTTTAAAATACCAATATATCTAGTGATAATTAGACATGGGGCTTCCCTGGTGCCTCAGGCGGTAAAGAACCTGCCTGCACCGTGGGACACCCTGGTTTGATCCCTGGGTTGGGAAGATCCCCTGGAGAAGGGAATGGCAACCCCCTCCAGTATTCTTGCCTGGAAAATCCCATGGACAGAGGAGCCTGGTGGGCTACAGTCCATAGGGTCACAAAGAGCTGGTCACACTGAGTGACTAATACTACTTCTTACTAATTAGACATACTATCTAATGATAATTACTGTTAATATATTTATGTTTTTCCTTCTAGTCTTTTTATGGGTGTATATTTACAAGATTTGAGTTAGGCTGATCTCATGTATAAATTCGGAGAAGGCAATGGCAACCCACTCCAGTACTCTTGCCTGGAAAATCCCATGGATGGAGGAGCTTGGTAGGCTGCAGTCCATGGGGTCTCGAACAGTCAGACACGACTGAGCGACTTCACTTTCACTTTTCACTTTCATGCATTGGAGAAGGAAATGGCAACCCACTCCAGTGTTCCCAGGGATGGCGGAGCCTGGTGGTCTGCCGTCTCTGGGGTCACACAGAGTCGGACACGACTGAAGCAACTTAGCAGCAGCAGCAGCATGTATAAATTCACAATATAATCTAAATATTTTACCATGGTCTTCACACACCGGGGATGGGGGTCAGGGACAGATTGCTTTTTGTTTCCTGGCATAGTGTCTTGCATGTTATAAGCATTAAATTGAGTTGAATTTGTAGAAATAACTCTCTGCAAACATAAGTTCCTTTGTGGTTGTGAACACAGCACAAGCTATACAGTGTGTGTGTGTGTGTGTGTGAGTGTGAGTGTGTTAGCCGCTTAATCGTGTCCGACACTTTGTGACCCCATGAACTGTAGCCCAATGTGGTTGATAACCAAAGCATCAGTAGTGTCCCTGGTTTTTGTCCTTGGTCTTTGTCAGCAAAAATATCTACCTGTGGAGATAATGCTGCCACCTAGTGGCGTTAAGCAGAAGTGCAGACAATTTGTCAAAGTGATGATCTAGGCAGTAATTTGAATACGGTTTGCTGGCAAGAGAATTGAAACTTATTTCAATTTTTTTTTTTACATTGAGGTTTCCAGATGGTACCGTATAGAATCTCCCTGCCAATGCAGGAGGATTCGGTTTGATCCCTGGGTTGGGAAGATCCCCTGGAGAAGGAAATGGCAACCCACTCCAGTATTCTTGCCTGGGAAATCCCATGGACAAAGGAGCCTGATGGGCTACTGTCCATAGCATTGCAAAGAGTCAGGCATGACTGAGCGACTGAGCACACACACATATAATTTACATACTTCACCCATTTAAAATTCACAATTCTATGAACATTGGCAGATGTAAACACCTAAAACTGCTACAACTATCAGGGTACCGAACATTTTGAGGGTACCCCTCCCCCCAAGTTTTCTCATCCATCTCTTCAGCCCTTTCTCCCCCTCCCAGGCAACCATTAACTAATCTGTAACTATAAATTATGGTTTATTTTCTAGAATTTTATTTTAAGTATACATTATCACCTCATTTGTGTCTGACTTCTTTTACTAAGTATATTATGACTTTGACATTCACCCATGGTGTTGCATGTTATCAGTAGAGTTTGTTCTTTTGTCCTGCAAAGCAATATTCCATTGCTTCAATACAGCATATTTCATATATTCACTCACCTGTTGATGGACATTTGGATTGTTTCCATTTGAGGGTTATTGTGAATAAAGCTACACCCATCTTGTATGGACATGTTGGTTATTGATACTTTGATAGTGAAATACATGAGATAGACCCAGAAGTCAACCCAGAAGTGTCACTCTTAGTAAATCGGTAAGCAAGGGCCAGAGATTTTTAAAGGTGTTGTAAGTCGAATGTTTTTCTCACACACATGAAGCTTGTTGGAATCTTTTTTGGGGGGCGGTGTGGGGGGTGGGGCGCTGTGCCACATGACGTGTGAGATCTTAGTTCCCCAACCAGGGATCAAACCCATGCCTCCTACAATGGAAGCGTGGTGTCTTAACCACTGGATTGCCAGGGAAGTCCCTGGAATCCACTTTAAATCCTGAGGCAGAGAATTAGATGTATCACCAGTGTATACATTACATATAGGAAACCATATACAAATTAGTCAATCTAATTTTTATAATTAAAAATTCACATTGACAGGAATCCAAAATGAATGCTAACAAAGATCTAATAATCACTGGCTTTATTCTAAAGTGGTAATAATTTACTATGGTAAAACCACCACAGCACTCCTACTACTACTGTTAATTAATTAACATAACCACCCTCAGCATATTACATAAACTGAATACATAATAAATGCATAATAAATACTGGAGAGGAAGAAAAAAAATTCTCTCCTTTGGGCCCAGTTTTAAATAGATTAGGCATCATCTCTTACCAATAAATTCCTTTTGCATTTAACCTGTCCTGGGCTGTGTGGATGAGAAGTGGGGGAGGGGATACAATATCATGCATTGCAGGTGGTATTGGGGGGGGGGGCGGCGGTTCCCGTAGGAGGAAAGAGTGTCCTGGGGTATAAGGAAGGATAGGACACAGATTAAGGCATTCAAATGGCCTTCTACCCCCACATGAAAATACAATTTCCATCAGAAGTTACCAGTCACAGTGAATTGAATTGCATGCCTATGACCTTGTTAAGTATCTTTCATTATAGCTGGGGGCCTAGTTCCAGCGCCCTATGCTCTGGTTTCTCTCTCTCTCTTTTTAAAGAAATATTTATTTGGCTGAAACTGGTCTTAGTTGTGGCATGTGGGATCTAGTTCCTCCACCAGGGATTGAGCCCAGGCCCCCTGCATTGGGAGTGTGGTGTCTTCGCCACTGGCGCACCAGGGAGTCTTCTTCGGTTTCTCTTAAGAATGCAGAAGAGCTCGGTAGAGACCGTCTGCAAGGCCCACAGGTTGACAGCTGTGCCAAACAGCTGTGTGCCCTGGGGCGGAACCCTGGCTGCATCCCCAGCAATGCAAACCAGAGACAGATGGTTAAAAATAATCGCGAGCGAGTCATCCTCTCCTGCCGGGTGCCATCAGCGCTGTGCTCTGCAAATAGTATTTTCCTTAATGAAAATCACGTATTTCCCTTTTTCTCCTTTTGAATTTCATCCTCTCTCCTTTGACTTTCTCTGAATGTCAACTCTGATTTTACTGTTGCTTTGCATTTCATTATTTACAAGTATCTCCATTGAGCCTTTTTCTGAAGGACATTTAATCCACCACTAAGATTCTACACTGAGATTGAAGTTTGTGGATTAGGTGTAAATTTGCATACATTTACAATAGAAATAGGTTAAGTTCTATGATAATAACATAATTGTCATAAACTTCATGTGAAGACATCATGAAAATTTTACAGAATATGCATTAAAGAAGTAAGTTAAGTCATGTTTGAAGAAATGGAAAGACTAGGTAAAGAGTAAAAATGCCATTAACTGCCTCTTTGGCCTATAATATTAAAGATGTTTTTTCAATTGAATTTATCTTCTTGTCACAGACATAGTCATAGTGACTGACCTTCAAGCAAATACTTTTGAATATTGGCATTTAGAAAATAATTTCTTGACTACATAATTATTCAGTAAATTCTCTGTAGTCAAGTTATTCTTCAAGGGGTTCTAGAGTTGAATGTTTACAGAATTATTACCATTACCACTACTGTTTTTAGTACAGTATTGCCATGACCTTTTCATGATTTGAGTCTGTTAACATTTGCTTGATTAATATTACTACCATAAACTATCCTAACTGCAAGGACGAGTCATTGCATGGTGCATAAAAGTTCTTTCGAGTATGGAAAGAAAAAAAGAGAAAGATATAGGGCGGAAAGCATGTAAGATCTGAACAGAAGATGAGACAGATCCAGAAAAATAAATCTGCATCTTGACCAGGCAGATCCTGTGAGTCAGTGTTAAGGGAGAAATGGAAAGTTTACACATCATTACTCAGATTTGCTCTGAGAGGAAGGCCAGAGCAACCACCCACAAGCAGACTGCTTTACCTGTCCATGGTGGAATCCAGGTTGTCTTTCTTGGCTCCCTGAAGATCTTGGGAAGAAAAGCTTGCCTCCAGCACTTCTGCTGCACTGGCTGCCAATGCACTGGTCTCACACATTCAAATTTGAACTCAGCCCTTCAGGCTCCTCCCCCCAACAGCATCACCACCAACAGGTACCCCATAACCCTAGCAGCCTTCCTCCTGTTTGGGTCCACTGGAGATGGGTGGGGTTTTCATAGGCAAAAATCACAGAGAGAAAATGACTGAGGGCCACTCTGCCTAATGTACAGGTTCCTTTAGTTCTGCTTCTTGAAAACTGCAGTCCACCCTCCACAAGTAGTAAAGATCAGGAGACAGGAGGAGTAGAAAGTTAGTATATTGTAATCCTGGTTAAAAAAAAAATGATATCTTTAGTCATTTATTTCTTGGCTGTGCCTCAAGGCTTGTGGGAATATTAGTTTTCTGACCAGGGATTGAATCGGGGCCATAGCAGTGAAAGCACCAAGTCCTAACCACTGGATTGCCAGGAAACTCCTCAAAATGGTATCTTTCATTTTTAAAACATAATAATAACAATAAATTTAAAACCATCTTGTGTTCGATCAGCCAAAAGCATCTATTCCTCATTTAATTACATAATAGCTCTGAGTCTCAGTAAAGACTGACGCTAACTGTTCCTACATGGTTGCTGGTCAAGTATACTCAGGACTTAGGACAGAGGTTTTTGCCTCCCAAACCACTGATTGTTTTTTTCCTTTGATTGCTTTACAAGAATTGCTAGAAGACTAGATGATAAACCAAAGGATAATTTTTGCATAAGCTCATCCTTCCCACAGAAGCCATATATTAATTTGAAGTCAGAAGCAGCAGCATCTCAAGCAACAAAAGATTTATTTCATCACACAGAATCAGCCTCTAAGTGACTGCACTGAACCTGGAAAACAGGTTGGGCTTTTCAAATAAGAGGCTTTAAGTTCCCTCCCTCATACAAGCTGGTCTAATAAAGATTTTCATTTCTCCCTCCTGAGTTCATATGCATTCTATCTATTCATTCAATAGACATTCAGTACCCTCCAGGTGATAGAAACTGTGCCAGGTGCTGGCATTACAATAGTGAGCCAAGCGGCCAGGGTTCTTGCTCTCTTTCTGCTTCAAGGCTTTAAAAAATCGTCTATATGTTAATGATCCTCCCCCTGCCTCAGTCTGTAGCTCGAGCCTGGAACTGTCCCTTGAACTCAAGGCAAGTATGTCCATCTTCCACCTCACCATCTCCCTCTGGATGTCTGGGCATTTCAAACATGGCTAAAACCTAGCACCTGTTCTCTCTCCCCACGTATAATCCGGTCCTCTTCTTTGTCTCAGCGGCACTCAGAGCCAACCTGGCCATCTTCTTGATTGCTCTCTTCCTTTTAAATCTCATGCCCAAATCCTGCTAACTCTCCTTTCAGAATAAATCCAGACCCTGACCACTTGTCACCACCTCCAGGTCTAAGCATCCTGAAAAATTACATTCAGCCGCTCAACTGGCCTTCTGCCACCACCTTTCTTCAATTACAGTCTATTCTCACAGCAATCAGAGTAATTCTTTTGAAATATATATATATATATATTAAGACTTATTTTCCTTTTTGGCTGCATGGCATGCAGGATCTTAACTCCCTTACCAAGAACTGAGCCCATGCCCCCTGCATTGAAAGCATGGAGTCTTCACCACAGGACCGCCTGTTTTTGAAATATTTTAGATCATGTCAATCTGCTGTCGACTCTGCCTGAGCCCTCCTTTTCTCAGTAAGAAGTCAACATCTTTACAAATGGCTCCCCAGACCCTCTGCCCGGCCCTCTGCCCCTGACTTGCTTGTGCCTCTGCCTGGAATGCACTTCCCCTACACTATTATTACTGCTTAATCCTTTGTCTTTACTCAGATACTCCTTGTATCGAGTTGAGACTTGTCTCATATCTAAAATTTCCACTATATCCCATCACCCTGACCTTTCTCTTTCCCCTTCCTTAACATATATTTTTCTTTAGCGCTTATAACTCCAAATATGAAATTGTCTATGTTCACTGAGTCTTAGGCCCATGAGAGGTTGGTTCCTCTGCAAGGATTCCCCTGGTGGTCCAATGGTTAGCGGGCTTCCCAGGTGGTACTAGTGATAAAGAAAGTGAAAGTGAAAGGGAAGTCACTCAGTTGTGTCTGACTCTTTGCGACCCCATGTATGGTAGCCTACTAGGCTCCGTGGTTCATGGGATTTTCCAAGCAAGAATACTGGAGTGAGCTGCCATTTCCTTCTCCAGGAGATCTTCCCAACCCAGGGATCGAACCCAGGTCTCCTGCATTGCAGACAGACGCTTTACTGTCTGAGCCAAACCCTCCTGCTCATGCTGGAGATATAAGAGATGTGGGTTCAGTCCCTGGGTGGGGAAGATCCCGTGGAGAAGGGCATGGCAACCCACTCCAGTATTCTTGTCTGGAGAATCCCATGGACAGAAGTGCCTGGCGGGCTACAGTCCACGGGTTCGCAAAGATTTGGACACGACTGAGAGACTTACCATGCATGCACACCAGTGATTGGCACTCCATGCTTCCATGGCCAAGCTCGCCGATTCAATTCTTGGTTTAGTCTCCTCTAGTTGAGCAAATTAAGATCCCACAGGCAATGTGGCACTACCCCCAAAATAGAAAAAAAAATTTTCCCCTGCAGAGGCCAAGGTGGGATCATCCAAGGGCATGTAAAATCTGACCCTCTTGTTTCCTCAGATATGAGTGGCATCTTTACTGTATTATCAACCGATTGTCTACAGAGTGACATGCACACACATCCTTCCAAAGGAAGTTTAAATATTAATTCTCAGAGATGGTAACATCACAAAATCTGAAAATTAGAAAAACATTTCCCAACTTCCCCGGGTGGGAAGCTAAATTCCTGATACCCATGGTGGGAATGTGACATGATCTGGCAACACTGTATGAGCTCCTTTTGTATATTCTCTCTCTTTAAATTATGCCCTTTTGTTCCAGCCAGAAATAGGCAAACAGATGCACCTGCTTTGTTTTTGTTTAGTTTTGGTTTGATTTCTGGGATTCTAACTATTTTTTTCCCCTTTGGCTGCACTGCAGTTCATGTGAGATCTTAGTTCTCTGACCAGGGATCGAATTTGTACCTTCTGCAGTGGAAGCATGGAGTCTTAATCACTGGACCCCAGGGAAGTCCCTCTAACTATTTTAAAAAGCACAATTCAGTGGTATTAACTGCATTCACAATGTGCAGCCATCAAAAAACCTTTTCTATGACCTCCCCCAAAACCCATAATCATTAAACAATAACTCACCATTCCCCCTGGCCATCTCTGGTAATCTTATATAGATAGGACTATTGTAGACATTCTTAAGTGGAAACATACAATCTTTGTCCTTTTGTGTCTGCCTTACTTCACTTTTCATAATGTTTTCAAGATTGATCCATGTTAGAGCGTCAGAATTTCATTCCTTTTTATGATCTGCCTTACTTCAAAGCTCATGCAATGCTATCGTGCTGGTAAAATCAACCTTGCAGATCTTAGTCAGATTGACCATATCAGTTTAGAAATCTTCATCAGAGCTGCAGAGAAGAGTCTTCCCCTCCATATTGACTGTGTCGTTAGAACTGGGTTTGGCTGTGTATGTCAGACAGACTCAATAAATTGCTTGTGCAAGATACGATTTCTCTTCCACATAAAAATGTAGACAGTTGGTCTAGCAAGAAATTAAATCTAAATCTAACTGAAGCATGGATTTTGGAGCTCTTTGTTTTGTTGAGTGTCTAGTGGCCATTTTTTGCCAGAATGTTTCCCCACCTCTCAGTTCGATAATGGGACATGAGTCTCAGCCAAGCAGCAGAGAGAAATAAAACACTGTTTTTGGAAGCATACAAGACCAGGCATTGTGGGAAAGAACAGAGAAAGATGGCAATCATGGTGGTCCCCTGATTATGACATGGCCTTTCACTGCCATGGACCAGAGTTCCACCCCTGGTCAGGGAACTAAGATCCCACAAGTCACCAGTTGTTGCAAAAAAATAAATATAAAATTAAAAAAATTGGGAATTCCCTAGCGGTTCAGTGCTTAAGAATCCATACTCCCAATTCAGGGGGCATAGGTTCGATTCCTGGTCAGGGAACTAGGCATGCCCCACAGCTTGGCCAAAATAAGAAAGGAAAAAAAAAAAAAGGTGGCAGTCAAGCCCATTCCCCCAGAAGCAGAATTATCTGTTCAGTTCAGTTCAGTTGCTCAGTCATGTCCGACTCTTTGCAACCCCATGAACTGCAGCATGCAAGACCTCCCTGTCCCATTACCAACTCCCGGAGTTCACTCAAACTCATGTCCATTGAGTCTGTGATGCCATCCAACCATCTCATCCTCTGTCGTCCTTTTCTCCTCCCACCTTCATTCATTCCCAGCATCAGGGTCTTTTCCAGTGAGTCAGTTCTTCCCATCAACTGGCCGAAGTATTGGAGTTTCAGCTTCAACATCAGTCAGTTCCTCTGCCTTTTCTAAAACTAGCTTGAACATCTGGAAGTTCATGGTGAACGTACTGGTGAAGCCTGGCTTGGAGAATTTTGAGAATTACTTTACTAGCGAGTGAGATGAGTGCAATTGTGCGGTAGTTTGAGCATTCTTTGGCATTGTGTTTCTTTCGGATTGGAATGAAAACTGACCTTTTCCAGTCCCATGGCCACTGCTGTTTTCCAAATTTGCTGGCATATGGAGAGCAGCACTTTCACAGCATCATCTTTTACGATTTGAAATAGTGCAACTAGAATTCCATCACCTCCACTAGAATTATCTGGATATTTATTTAATTCTATTTCATAAATTAAATTTCATAGGGTTGATGACTGAGCAACTGAACAACAAAAACATCAAAGCATTGGTAGAATCTAATAATGTACAATTCAATGTACGTTCTTATATACTGTCTCTTGTTTTGAAAATCTTACTTTTCAGTGTAGAGATTGCATAAGGAAGATTCTCTCCAATATACACAAATGGTTTAGATATTCAGTACTTGAAAATGAAGGTTGTGGGGGAGGAAAAAAATCTATTGTGTTTGTTTTAATGTTTTACTCCTTTGGAGAT